GTGAGTAGTAAGGAGAACTTAACTTTACAATTCCTTGCTCTGCGGGTGATTCTCAAAAATGATTGTGTATCAGAATCACCCAAAGAGCTTTTAAAAGTACAGAGCATAAGTCCTAGACCAGACCCACAGAATCAGAATCCTCAGGGCTGGACTACAGGAATCTGAATTCTGCCAAGTACTATAGAGCCTTTTTTTTTTTTTTTTTTTTTTTTTTTTTTTTTTTTTTGCGGTACGCGGGCCCCTCACTGCTGTAGCCTCTCCCGTTGCGGAGCACAGGCTCCGGACGCGCAGGCTCAGTGGCCATGGCTCACGGGCCCAGCCGCTCCGCGGCATGTGGGATCTTCCCAGATCGGGGCACGAACCCGTGTCCCCTGCATCGGCAGGCGGACTCTCAACCACTGCACCACCAGGGAAGCCCCTATAGAGCCTTTTGATATTTGCTCCTTAAATCTGAATCGAAAGGGGGAGGATCTGTCTGACCTGACTAAGGGCTCTGTTGAGCACTGGCTGCTTCCACCTTCTAATGGCATTAGAATATGGTATGCTGCAATGTAAACAGATCAAGAGCATTTATTCAATTAAATTCAACATGTATTATGACAAAACTTACCAAATTAGACACCTGAAGTATGTGCATTTTATCATATCCCAATCATACTAATTAATGCTGTGAATTTTAAGAGTTCCCAATGAAAAAGCAGAAAATGAAATCTGTGGCATCTTAAAAAATTCCACGTATTTTGCTAGGTGCTAGGATACTGAGTATACAAAAAGCAGAAAAACTATAGGTCTCACAACAAGAGACAAACATACATTCTTCTATGCACATAGTAACCATCACTGAGTACTCGCTATGTGGCCCCTCTTCCAACTTTTACATTTGTCAATTAATTCATCCTCACAACCGTGCGGGTATGTTCAACTATTGCCATTTTATAGTTGAGAAAACTGAGGCACAGAGAGGTTAAGTCATTAGACCAAAGTTACAAAACTAGTAAGTGACTGGTCAGAATTTACTAAATCCAGGCTCTATCGCCTAATGCGTTAGGCTGCTCAGGCTGCTGTAACAGAATACCACAGACTGGGTGGCTTAAACAACAGAAATTAATTTCCTCATAGTTCTTGAGGCTAGAAGGCCAAGGTCAAGGTGTCGGTAGGTTTGGCTTCTCCTGAGGCCTCTGTCCTTGGCTTGCACTGTCCTCACGTGGGCCTTTCCTCTGTGTGAGCACATCCCTTATGTCTCTTTTTCTTCTTATAAGGTCACCAGTCATATGATTAGGGTCCCTCCTAATGGCCTCATTTTAATTTAATCACCTCTTTAAAGACCTTATTTCCAAATATGGTGACATTTGGAGGCAACACCCAACTGGGGGGTTGGGACTTCAACATATGAATTTGGGTGGGAGGGACACAATTCAACCCCAAACACCTGATGACTTGTGAAACCTCAAGAAAGTTACTGAAACTTCCTATGCCTCAGCTTCTTCACCTGTAAAATAGTGCTACTGAGCATCAAAGGAGATAATTCATGTAAAATGCTTATTAGCAGAGTAGTCTGACACACAGTATCATCATTTTAAAGATGAAGAAAACAAAACTCAGAGACGGTGACTCGCCCCGCGTTCATCTCTAAAGCGGAGTTCTTACACTTCAGAACACTATTTTCCTGTATAACCAAACGTATAATCCAGCACAATTTTATATAATTTATAAATTTTATACATCTCTTAACTTCCTGCTTTTGCACACTATTTTTCTTTATTACATAAAAGGGAGTAAGAGAAGGAGAAGCTCAAATTAATAAGAATTTAGTTAGGGAAGTATACTACTTTCATGGGATTGTATATGAATGTCATTCATCTTTTCTCCTAATTTGTAAAGACAACTGGCTATAGCCAGTGATGACACCTCAGAGGATCAAAACCTACGTTTAACTATCAGGAACGAAAAGCAACTCATTTTTTTGTAAAAAATTAAGACTGTCCTTTACATTTGCCTAGTACTCTACCTATATTAACGCCCGTTTAATCTTCAACACAATCTTATAATATCATATTTAGCTCCCATAACAATGTGAGGAAGGTATTATTCCCATTTTTCAGCAAGGGAACAGGAGCACGGCAAGGTCAAAGGTTTTTCTTTAAGTTGCAATATCTGGTTTCCTCATTTTTCATGCTTGGCACAGAGCAGGTGTTCGGCAAATAAGGCAGATGACTAGCGGCAATCTAGACTAAGCTGCAAGGCCTCTCTTTTACATCCTTTATATGGGCCGACTTTCCTGACCACTTTGATCACCACCAACCCCTTGGATTGACAGCTCTTTTAAGGCAGAAACCACGGTCCCCTTCTTCCCCAGTGTCTAACACACCTGGTGCTCATTTAAGTTCAATATTTGAGAAATGAGCGCTCAAGTCAATATTTGTTTGTATAATCGAATCCCAGCACATTCCTCCTTTAGTGATGGCAACGAGTACTTTTCAGCCACCATCATATAAAAAACATCAACAAAAAGAAGCATTTATAAAACCTCTCTCTCACGGCCTGAAACAGAGAAGCCTACAGGCCTTTTCCAACCCCCAAATCCTATGATTCCATCATAGTCTACTCCTGACAGGTAGTTAAACTCACCACCTCTAGTACCAATTATAGGCATAATGCAATTGGATTCGCCAGTACAGAACCACTACAATGTTCTTTCTTAGTTTGTGGTGTGCTTCAGGGAAAACAACAATTTTGCATATGTGACAGAAAAGTTCACAATTTCCAGAGGTAATTGTAATGGATGATAAGGTCGATCTCAGTGGACGGTGTAATTGCTGTCCATCAAGGCCCCTATGTCATAAAAAGGAGCTATATTAAGAGAAATCAGGCCAACTTATTTTCTCAAGAATACACTGGTGTTTGCGTTTTTTTTTAAAAAAAAAAAACTTCAAAGTCTGTTTGGCCATGAGCAGTCAGGCAAGTTTTGACCCTGACATGGAAACTATCTGACCACTTCTGAGCGGTTCAGTACACAGGGAAGGGTGGTAGGTGGAGCCGGCCAGAGCAGTGCTCTGAACTCTGCTCAAAGCTCTCCTGTAACTTCAGGGACTTATGGGTGTCCAGTTTGTTCATCTATCTTGCTTTCATGTACCCTACTGTGAACTGGCCATCACCTCTCTGGCTAACTACTTCACAGAGCTGTTGTAGCAAATTTAAGGGAAAAAAAACCAAAAACCAAACTCTCAGAAAGAAAAGAATTCAATAAAACACTGAAAGGATAAAAGTATTGCATTACACTTCCTGTCTGAATTAATTTTTTCAAAATACTCTGAGATGTGAAGCAGACAAATTCACTAAGTAAAGAGTTACTCTAGGTTGTTTTTCTTTTTTCTTTTCTAAGTGAAAGTATCCTACAAATACTCTTTTCTGATGCCTTCAAGAGAGAAGAAATTTCAGAAAGAAATGAAGAGGCATACATATTATCATCACTAATAAATATTTACTAAATATATGCAATGTACAAAGCACTGGGCTAGATGCTGTTTAGAATACAGAATTAGTAAGAAATGTCCATACGTCCTCCCGTAGTACAACTGTACCATAAGATGAAACTTTTGTTTAGATTTCCCAAATAAACAAAGGTTTTAAGTTCCCCTAGGACACGGAAGAACAAAATATTTTTTTTCTCTATTATGATTTCCTGGCTTCATAGAAAAACTGTAGAACACACCAAGGGAGAAACTCTTCTTTTATCTATTAGTTTCCACTGATAAGCAGCAGCTTTTCAAGAGCGACTGAGCTACAGAATGACTTAATTTCCACAACAACGCGATTAAATCTGACACGCACATGACACGGGGGAGAAAGGAACCCACCCACGTGCCCTTCGATTTCAGTAAGAAAAGTTGAAGCGTATTGTCAGGGAAGGCAGGGAGAAGATCAAGATCATGCGGCTTAGAAAGAAGATGAAGAATGATAGGACGTGTGACCGCCTAGAGGGGTGGGACAGGGAGGGTGGGAGGGAGGGAGACGCAAGAGGGAAGAGATATGGGAACATATGTATATGTATAACTGACTCACTTTGTTATAGAGCAGAAACTAACACACCGTTGTAAAGCAATTATACCCCAAAAAAGATGTTTAAAAAAAAAAAAAAGAACGATAGGATGGAAATATTCCAAGTAACGGCAAGGCACTTGGGATTCCTTGAATGCCCTGCCGTATTCAATCACATAACGGCCAGGCACTGAAAGGAAACGCTAGAGCCCATCTCACGCCTCACTTCTGCTACTGACTGAGGTTGAGAAAGAAAATTAAGACAACATTTTCAAGTTACTCAAAGGCAGAAATTGTAGCCTGGACATTTAAGGGAATAAGCTCATTAGGTGGGGTAAAAGACTTGTTTTGCAATTAGTCAGTGTCTTTACCCAATTAATTTAAAACGGGAAGCCCCGAATTTTCTTAAAGCTTTACTGGTCTTCGTTTGTTAGAACTGACCGTTCTACTATATCAATTCTTTGTGTATGTTTACTTTCCCTCCTAGATTTATGGCCAAACTGTTCTCAAAAACAGAACAAACTTCTTATTATCTGCTTCTTTCATATTTAATATTCTATTTCCCTGAAGCCACGGAACTGATATTCTTCAACAGATGAAGTAAAGTGAATGCTGACAACCAGCCCTCATGGTCCAGGGATGGGGAAACGAATAAGGATTTAAGCCCCAAGGCAAACAGGGCACACTCACCATAAGGTCGAGATCACGTTAAGGAAATCTACAGCACTTGAAACGCAATTCTGTAGTTACAGTTCTGATCAAGCTGAACCATCTTTTGGGACAGCCAATCATGAACAAGATTGCTGTATTTGGAATTCAGACAGCAAGAAAAGGCAGTCTCTTCTCAGAAATGGAAAATGACACTCAGCCAGCTCTATGTCCCATGGTGTAATCTCACATCAAGTACTTGAACAATTCTTAGTTATTTTTTTTTTTCCAAAATGAAAAGTAGATCAACTTACATGGCTCTCTGGCAATGAACTGAGGTACAGTGTTGGGCAGAGGAGTACTAGGGTTTGGAGTCCCTACTAGTTTGTTCTTGGCCATCTTCGTGTTTGCCTTAGCAAACTCTAGTCGTAGTGTTTGTGGAATTTCAGGATCGAAGCGGATGCCCTTTGGAAATAAAGAACAAATGGAAGATGTTTTCATTTCCTTAGAGTCAAACCGGAATGGTGACAAAATAAACACACCAGTAAACCCGGCCTATCAGGAAAAAAAAGTTAGTAAGAGCTCTCATTCTCACTACTTACACAGAATACACGAAAACCTGTAACACAGCATGTCCACAAAGTCAGGGAGATTTAGTCTACTGTATTAAAAATTGAGTTGCATGGTTTTTCATCTATTCCTTTTCTTTTTGGACTAAAACGTTCAGGTTCAAATTTTAAATCTGGACCAGCAAATGCCTAGCATAGTTAAAAACTAATTAATGGCTACCAAGAAGAATGAATTAATGTAAAGCCCTGTGTAATGCTGGCAAAGTCCAACACCTGAAATCGTAAGCGGCAAGGCTTTGACCAGTGTTTAAAACAATGTTAATTCTTCAATGCCTTAGTTTCATCACCTCTAGAGGGGGAAAATTCCCATCCCCTTCTAACTGGAGAGCTTTCATACTGGTGATACATGTACTCTGAGTTACTAAGTAGACAGGAACTAAACAGTTTTAAGACTTCAATATAACTAGTATTACTTAATTCTGGTTAGCTTATAAATTCATATGAATGTCTTGATGTGGTATGGTCCTGATTTTGATTATAAGCTGGCTTACTAGCTACATGGATAGACAGACCACAGATTATATGGGCCAAAGAGAGGTTAGTAATTTCAATTACCTTTAACCCTATTATTGCAGTTTACCTAAACCAAATATATTCAATAAAATAAGTCACAAACACTATAAAGTACAAGATTTAGGACAAGATAAAACTATTTGAAACCCTCCCACCATTTAAGAATGCCTCCACTACTGAGCATAACGAATAATCTCATGATATTTATGTCCAATGCTAGGATTCTGGACCCCAACAATAGTATCAAAAAGACACCCCAGTATAGTATGGTGCATAAACGTGCATTCAGAACAGACTTAGGTACCATGTTTGTTTGTATGGCATGTTCTGAAAAAGGAGTGAAGTTCTGAAAATGAGTATCTTAAGAACACATGTTCTCAGTTTAGCACTCACGTGGGCCTGAGTGCCCCAAAGCCCCTTTCTTCTTTTTATTAGCTTGAAGACAAGAGCAATTTCCACAAGAAATTAGTAAGAGTCTCTAACTCTGTAGACCAGGATGAACAACTCTGAACTTCTCAGGCTCAGCTCCAAAGATGGGAGGAAGAGCATGTGACTTGACGGGAGCGGCAATAAGAGAAATAAGGGGGTTAGGGGGCAGGAAGCGAAGGAAAGCAAGGCCCTCAGGGAGGCACAACTACAGCCACAGAGCCATGACCCACTGATGTCCTGGAGTGGGTGAAATTTCCAACTGAAGGGGCAAACAGGTGCGGGTGGACAAGAAGAAAAGGAATCCTCTGGTGCAGCCCTAACCAATGACGAAAAGTGAAAAGGGGGTGCCAGGTATATGAAATATAAAAAGAAATTCTTTCTTTAACTGGTCTCAGTTTTCGTTTTGAGAAACCTCAGTATTAATCTTGAGAAAAATGTACATAAGGGGAAAAAGACAAAGCAGCACCCTGAAGCAGTGTTTGCTTCCATTCACTTCCACTACGAGCATTTCACTCTATCAAAGCTGCTATCAACAACAGAGTGAATATTTCCAAATACGGATCTGAAGAGCTGTGGCCTTTGCTGGGAGACGAGCACAGTCCCCGCTGTCATTTAAAGGTATGCTGTGGAAGGACTTGCTTATTCTTATCACACCCCATCCAACTACACAGAGAAGCAACTTGCTATCGATTTCCAAGTGTGTCCAAGTGTCCTCCTTGGTACTTAACGCCCCCATCCTTCCTGCGAAGTAGCAGCTTTTCCTAATAGCCCTGAGCCCCCATCCCCGTGAGCAGCGTGGGTAACATGAGAAGAGTATCCTGGGACCTGTCAGGGGTCCTCTGGAGCTTCTAGTCTCAGAGAATGGGGCCAGACATCTGCAGTCTACGCCTCAGCTCTTTCACTGATGTGCGAGAGCTGTCCACACAACGTGCTTGCCTCTTACACAACCTGGTCTCGTGACTCAGGTCCTAAAACATGCTTAACTGAGTCTCCTCTACTCCCCACCCCCGTCTTCATACCCCTCCTCCCTGTGTGAGCTAAAATAACACCACCATCATGTTCCAAATCAAAGTTCCAGCTCTTTATTAAAAAAAAAAAAAAAGCTCAGAAGTTAAAATGACCTAATTTGTTTGGAGCTTATTCAGAGGCCGGAGGCTTAGAACACAAGTCACATTCCTCTAACATCTTTAGCAGCAATACCATATTTGGTAATCAATATCCTGCTCAGCTCAGTTTCTATCCAGAGGGACCAGCCAAGCCAAAAACATTTTAAATGTTAAAGGATGAAGAAGAGGAGGCAGAGTGGGGCGGGGGTTGGGAGAACATGGAAGTGAAGAGGAAGAATGAGGGGAGAAAGAGGAAAAAGAGGGAGACAGATAGGAAGGAGACATGAAAACAAAACAAAACAAACAAATCCCCTTGTGCTTTTAATTAAAGCCCAATAAGATTATTCTCTGGCCACAGTGACTTCTCATTAAATGCTGTCAGGATAAGATTACTACTAAATCAAAGGGGGAATCTGTGCCTTTCAAACTCAACTTTTTCCTCTCTTGCCTATAATTCACCCAAACCCTTCTGGTAAGTGAACAGAAAACATTTCTCTTGCAATTGTAAATGGTGTCTTATTTCCTTGGTGTCCAAAAAGGACAGTTTCTAGATATCAGTATGATATCGGTTTGAGAAGTTACTTAGAAGCAACCCAATCTGACTGGCTATAGGAACAGCCAATAGTCTCTCCAAGATGGCCTAGAACACTGTGACCAAAGCAACACAGGTTCACTGTGAGCTACAAGGGCTAAACTCCCTACCCAGGGCAAACTCTGGGAGACAGAAAGTATCCTTAGTAGCCTACTATACCTAAGAGTATATCAGGGCAGTAGCAAACCCACATGCTTATGTGTCACAGACTGAATGCTGGTGTCCTCCCCAAATCCATGTTGAAGCCCTAACTCTCAATGTGATGGCATTCGGAGGTAGGGCCCCTACGAAGGGATTAGCGCCCTTGGGAGAAGAGGAAGGGACTCTAGAGACCTCTCTCTCCAGGAGCACACACCAAGGAAAGGCCACGTGAGAACACAGTGAGAAGGTGGAATCTGCACAAACCAGAAAGAGGGTCCTCACCAGATACTGAATCTGCTGGCAACTTGATCTTGGACTTTCTAGCCTCCAGAACTGAGAGAATTAACGTTGATGCCACCCTCTCTGTGGTATTTTGTTATGGCAGCTAGAGCTGAGATACCTTAATGACACGGTTTTCTTTCCTGCACCGTAGTTCCTAAAATACCTCACAGTACTCTTTCTGAACTTTCTACAGTCTCGTCCAGGTAACTCTCCTCTTCTCCAGCAGCCTCATCCCCAGCCCCACCTGTTCCCTCACTGCAAGTGACTCAGCCCATAGGAACACTTTTATTCAACCACCTTGGTTGATACATGGGATTACTGGAAGTCCTAACAGTTCAATCTCAAAAGCTACAGAGAGCAATCAGAGGCCTGAAGGACAATTCAAACCCTGCATTTGCATACTGTAATGCTCTAAACTCAAACAGAGTATATTATTGCATTTAGGACTCTGCTGAGGGAAGTTTTTAAAATCCTCTTTTTTCCTCCTCCTCTGTCTCCTAAAATTAAAGCTTAAGAACTCTCTGTAAACAGAAAATCTTGAAAAAGAGAATTTTCTGAATTGTAGACCTAGACCCCTCAATGCAAATTTGTGCTTCCTATTTAAATTGAATTAAGATTCTCAGCAAGTTACAGAGCTTTAAAATGCCATTTTAGTGCTCTACAAACTACATCAAAGGCCGGAGTCCTAGAAGGATAAGGCAAGAGCTAGTATATGATAAAACACAAGGAAATGGGCAAGGTAAAAGGAAATCACCAAATCCTGAAGACCCAAGCCTACAGGAATGTAGAGTCACTGTAAATGAACTGCAGCTCTTTCAGTGACTTTCTGGAAGACAAAATGGAGAAGCTATTAATTAAATGTGCTGCAAAGCTCAGATCCCAAGTAGCTCTCCTGTTTCTCTAGCTGTAGTGATACTGGCTTCTTATGCACATAGGCTGTGCTGGAAAAGATTTATTGGCTGCAAATCGTGGATTTGGAGTCATATGATTATGCTGAACATAAAGGTTCAAGACCATTCCAAATCCTTAGTAGTGTCCCTGGTATTAATGTCATGCCACAAGAGTGGAAATATTAGTCAGGAGTTTATTCATTGAATAATGGGGGAAAAAAAGAGAGAGAAGGGCTATTCTAGAATGATTAAAACACCCTTAGGGCTTCCCTGGTGGTGCAGTGGTTGAGAGTCCGCCTGCCGATGCAGGCGACACGGGTTCATGCTCCGGTCCGGGAAGATCCCACATGCCGCGGAGCGGCTGGGCCCGTGAGCCATGGCCACTGAGCCTGCGCGTCCGGAGCCTGTGCTCCACAACGGGAGAGGCCACAGCAGTGAGAGGCCTGTGTACTGCCAAAAAAAACCAAAAAAACGAAAAAAAAAAACCCCTTAGAGGCCTACCCTCATATGCAATGTGTGGTCCTTGACTGAACAACCAGATATAAAAGACCTCTTGTGGGAAAATGAAGAAAGCGGAATACTGAATGGGCATTATGTGATATCTGGGAATTGTCCATTTTATTAGGTGTGATAAAATGGTAACGTAGGAAAATGTCTTTAGTGTTCGTACTGAAATACAAAGAAGATATAATGACAAAATGTCATAACATCAGGTATTTACTTTAGAATACTTAGAAAAAAAGGGAAGCAAATGCAGCAAAATGTTAAGTTGGTAAATTCTGATGGATTAATGGATGTTCATTACTATGCTCTCTACCTTTTGGTATGCTTGAAATTTCATAATAAAAAGTAAAAACAGAACAGATTCAACCAAGCACATAAC